GGGAGGAGGGCATGGATGCACTCTCACATGATCTGGTGCTGCATGGTGCCTATAGCTCCCCTCTTTCTCATGTACCCAGGAGACTTTGAGGACTGTGATTTTAATCAGGCCCAGGGGAGAATGGAAGCAACCCCACAAAGACTGACTCACCTCAGAGGAAATTCACATCCAACAACCACAGCAGACACAGCACATAATGGACGCTGTTCTTTCACTTTTCAGTTGTCTCTGTTAAAAGGTCACCTGACTTTCAAGAATACTTCACAAGTACTGTTCTATCAATCACAAGAACCACGCCACACTCACGATCCTGTGGTATTGTGCTGGGCCCAAACAACCAATTAGAAAGCTGCTTTCGTGCTGGATGACAGCCAAAGCCGAAATCAAGGAGGAAAATGTGTGTGGATAATAAAGACGAAAGGCAAATGCAGCAGGCCCTGCACTTCAGCAGGTCTACATCAGTGGACATAGGYAATCGCAGACTGAAAATGGTTTTTAAAACTGCATATGCACAGAATATGCATGGATATTCTCTCATTATTCCTTAGACAATACAGCACAACAACGACTTAAACAGGATGTGCACTGTGTTAGGTATTATAAGTAATCTAGAGATGCTATACAGTATTTGGGGGATGTGCAAATGTGCCACCATGTTATAGAAGGGACTGGAGTATGTGCAGGGGACCCTGGAATCTAATGCTCTCAGAGACTAAGACACAAGTACAAACGAATGAGTCCACATGATTCGTATGAGCATGGGAGTACGTGACCATGTAAGACATCACGTATGAGGCTCACAACTTGTCAGGCACTGTCCCAAGCACTGGGGTATGTTAAATTTGAATCCTCACAACAATTCAAAGAGTAGGTACCACTACCACCATTTTACAGTTAGAAAGTGGTAGAACTGGGCCCAGAAGTCAGGGCTTTAGCCTGACCTAACCTCACTGCACCCATCATGTCAGATTTAGCACAGCCAGAGACCAGGTGAGGCTCAGCTCTGGTCCATGAGGGACTGTGGCAGCAGGTTGAAGCCGGCACAAACGAACAGCAGCGAGACTCCCATGCCCACTGTTCATCCCAGGACAGTGCGATGCAGTCAGAGGCTGGAGACGGGAGTATTCAGCAGTGAATTGTGAGCTCCATGTAAGGACCCATTCCCATCTGCTAGGGCCAGAGGCCACAACGAACTAAGTGACGGGCCAGCTGCTGACCCTGGCACGACCCCAGGGAATCCTCATATGCACTCACATGCCCTCTACTGTGCAGACCTGTGCAATTTTACACACCTGCACACACACAACTACACACAACACTCAATCACAGACACTCATGCATGGGTTCACTCACATTTGAAAACCCTCAATGTGAAAACCCTCATGCATTTTCAAAACATTAACTTACATGTCAACACATGTATACACGTGCCTGAAACACACAAACACACCTGCAGTACATCACCTGCTCACATTTGTGACACACAACACCCTTGCAAACTCACATGCACATTTGCCCACATACTGTACTTACAACACACGTAAGCACACACATAACACGAGGCGCACACACTAGCACACACATTCACAACACACTCCAACTCACAGGCAACACATTCATGCTCGTGCGCTTGCACATGTATCACATACGTGTATACACAGCCCACACACATGCATATATGTCACCCCTACACACCAGGACTGACCTAGCAGAGGGCCCCTGATCTGCCCTTCTGTCTCAATCTGTCCTTGCTCCTCCCACCCTGCTGCTGATGAAATCAGGTCCATAGATCTGCATTTATTCTCTGCCTGCTTCTCTCAGGATCAGGATCTTGATCCACAGGTAACCACTGGCTGGGAATTAACTTAGTATCTGTTTATAGATACTACGTTAATTATGGCTTTGGGTTTCAAGTACTGAGGAAGCTAAGGAAGTTTTCATTGTAGGCCTTTATACTAACATTGCTTTCCTAAGATTAGACAAACTGTTAAAACTATTTCTTTAAATGTGTGAAAAAAATAGTTTTCTTTCCTTTCTAAAGCTTAAGAGCTAATGAGTGATCAACTGTGAATTCACTTTATATATATATAAAATATTTTTAAAACTAACAAGACTAGCATTCGCTTTCAGATTGCCTTAAAACATTTCATTACTTTCCCCCTTGTATGTGTGGAAAATATGTTTATTCAAGATACAGGGACTGTGTCCATGGAAACCTGTAACAAATGCAGATTGTCCAGTGCCCACCTTAGGGGCTCCAAGAATAAAATGGGTATTAAAGGGGTTGGGGATGTGGCTCAAGTGGTAGCATGCTCGCCTGGCATACATGAGGCACTGGGTTCGATCCTTAGCACCACATTAAAAAAAAAAAAGGGTATTAAAAATAAAGGTGTAAAATCAAGTAGAAATGGCTARCACACCTATGTGATCACTTGCTTCCACGAGGCAGACCTCCCTGTGACTCCCCCCAGCCTTCAGGGAGCCACCCCACAGTCTGACAAGTTAACCTGCCTCAGGTCAATTATGTGGTAACTGGGAGGGTGCCTAGGACTCCCATGTGAATGTACGATTAAAGCAACAGGAAAAGTAATTAATCCTTGAGACAGAGCCTAATACAGCTGAAGTGAGAAAGCCACCACTCCATTCTCACAGGAATAGTCACAGGAAAGAAACAGGCTCCTTGCAGCCCTCCGGGTTCACGTCTTCCAGCTGCTGGTCTTGCTACAGGCAAGTGTGTTACCCTGAGGGCAGCACCTGGAACACTGGCGATGGAGAGGTGAGGCCTCTTTGGGGAAAAATGCCACCTGGCCACCCAACCACCACCCTCCATCTGACAGCTTCCCAAGCTCCCCTGACAGACGAGTGTGTGGAGGCTCCAAGTCTAGGAAACCCCACTGTGATCACACCAAAGAACAGAGATGGACCCAGGCTGAAGGCTGCTAAGGACAGGCCGAGCAGACACACGGGTCTGTATACACCACCTTGTGAGGAGCAGGCTACGGGGCCACTCTGGGGGAGTAAACTGCCTTGTCCACTATCACAGGTAGTATGCTGCCCACCTGGGGTGTGATATGCCCACCTGCTGAGCTCTGAGCTCCAGTCTCAGAGCACTCTGTTTCAATATGCCTACAGATTACTTCACAAATTAGGGCAAAACTTCACTTGGAAGGATCATTGACCTGGCCAGGATTAAAGAATCAATCACTTGTGAAGGAAGCCCATCCGAGGACGAGACTGCCTGCTCTTTCTAGCACAGCAAACTGATCTGAGGCTCAGTGTTTCTTCTTTATCATCATAACTGCACTGGCTCTCACTTCCCTTTCCTGAGTCATACCCCTTCTCAACGGATTGGCTGCAYTGAAGAGAGTCAAAAAGTAGCTTCAAAAAACCACTGGTCAAAGAAGCTCCCGGGATGCTGTGTCCTTTTACAAAAGGGAAAAATCCTTAACTCCAGCCTCCGACTTTCTCTGATTTCCAAGGTACTCTTAACACAAAGTTTAGCAGTTTTTTTGCATAGTGCATTATAATTTGTTCTCTATGAATTTTGAGGGCCAGGCCAGACAGAAAMGCATGACATGACTGAAGCGAGTCTCTGATGGAACAGTCTTCACTTTTTGAGGAAGTTATACAAATATAAAATTACTTTCAAATACTTTTTTATAGGAGGTACTATAGGTTTGTTGTAAAGCCCAGAAGTCATCACTTGGAAAACTACACTCCCGGGACAACGTTTTCATTGTTCTAAGTCTCTGAATTTTGAAAATGTTCCKGACTGAGCATTGCTGCGATGCAGCCAAAGGTTCGGGGGCAGCTTCTTCCTTTGGGCCTTGGTCTCTAGTGCCTTCTGAGGGGCTGCAAGCACAGGGCCCCTCACCTGCTGATTCCCTAATTGCACAGCACATAGGTTTTTTGAACAGGCGGTTCACGCAGATCCACCGGGGCCAGGTGGGCAACTCTAAGTGTGACACAGGTAAACATATGGTGCTTCTCACTTGGGGCACGATTGACAATGTCACTTGTCCTGTGCACTGCAGGAGGTTTGGCAGCACCCCTGGCCTCCACCCACTAGATGGCAGTGGTACTGTTCACGGAATCACCCAATCAAAGATGACATCAGGTGTGTCCAGACATCCACTGGGGGCATGAGAGCCCTGCTGAGAACTGCTGATGAGCCCAGGCAGCTTTCCCTGCCCAGGGGCCAACGGGGGTCTGCAGGGCCCTCCTGGCCCAAAGAGTTCTGAGGTCTATGGGCCTGCCCTGCCCACCCCAACACATTCGCAAACATGGCAACTGGAAGCTCCCAACACCAAAGAGCACTGCCTGGTCCCCACCTCCTGACCAGATGTCAACATTTACTGTGGCAAGTGACACAGTAGGTATTGGATGGGTGTTGATGGGTGAGCAAATGAGAAATGCAGGGTGAGCAGCTCAGTGTCTGGCACATGGCAATGCAGTCRCTGAGAGCTGGCCACACACTATGAAAGACAATGATGTGTGTCAAAGTCTGCCCATCACATAATCAAACCAAATTATCCACTTCAGTGCGTTTTAACAGGTCCCCTCTCTTGGGGCATCTCTAATGGTCTTCTCTTCTTGCTTCACCCCTCATCCCCAGGCTTCCTATCTACACAATATCACCTTTCAGGCTTGCTTAGGAGATCGCTCAACAAGCTGCACAGAAAAGGCAACTTGACTKCCACTGGAACTTTCCATGGACACTCCTTCACAAGTGTTTGAGGTACAAAATGCAGCCTGAAATGGTCAAGGACAGAACACACTGCCTGCCTCCTGGTGAGCTGGCAGTGGCAGTGACTCTGGYTGCTCTGCCAGTACCTCCAAGTGCTACCTGCAGTGCTTGAGCCAACTTGCCCAAGTCTCACTTTATCCATAAGATAATCACACCGAGAATGAGGTGAACCATGCGGATGCTTCTCCTAGGTGGGCACCTGTGCACCAGGCAGCCAACTAGAAAAAAAGAAAAACCCACCAGGGTACCATACCTGTCATGTCTCAGGGCTCTCATGTCAACATAGACAGTGGTTGGGTCAGGTCCTGAGGTCCCCTGCAAGCAATGACACAGTGTGGTTAACTCAAGGTTGTGTGGAAGAAAATTGGGTCTATGGCTCTCCTAGCTGGTAAGCATTTCTTGGGTAAAACCTTAAACTGAGGATAAAAACTAATGGTGCTAAACACACCTCTCCAACACAACTGTTAACTTTTAGTTTGATAACCTCAATTATTAAAGCAACATCTTATTTGGATAAAACTGGACTTTCACACCATTCGACTATCARTCATTCTTTTATATATATAAAAAAGACATGGACCGCATATTTTGCCCACTGAAAGAAGTCTGAAAATGCTAAGAAAATGGCTGGCCAGCAAGAGCAGCCTGTCAAGGATATGAAGCTTCGTCTTCTGGGAAGATTTAATACACGCATCCAGAAAAGGGTATTTTTAGTGTTTGAGATACTGCAGCAGACGTGTGACGTGAATTGACAGATTGAGGAGAAGGACATGAGAGATAATTATTTTGTTCCTGTTAGTTCCACCTGTGCCTTAGTTCTCCAGCCTTGGGAGGCTATTTTTGTCTGTGTCATAAATCAGGAAGGTGGCATGTTCATCCCTGTCAGCTGGGCAGGACCTTATGGTCAGAGCCGACTATGTATAACAAGGCAGCCCAGGATTCTTCTTGCACCGGAAATCCCTTCAAAAGATACGCTGGGTTGACTTCTGGCCAGCAAGCGTGCTACTGAGTGGCAGTATTAAGGCTACAAGTGGAACCAATCATTTCTTGGGGGAGGCAATGCAATACCTCAGTTGACAAAAAAAAAAAAAAAAAAAAAGAACCCACAGCCAATTTGTCCAAAAAAGGGGATCCTTCAGAATTTATTTGAAGAATTAACACTAAAATTCTTCAGGTGAGAACCTTGATTTTTGTACCAAAGACATGTTTAAATATAAGAATAAAAACCAGATGACAACGTTAAAATGTGCTATGCTACTTGATAATGCTGGTCACTGGGATCTTACTACCAAGGTAGGAAAAAGAACAGCACATGCACATTAGCCCAGAGTTGCCCCTGCAGGGATGGTGCAATGCAGAAGAGGGCATTCTTGCTGACCTAGGACCGCTCAGTGACTCTGGGTTACAGACTAGCATTGAGTGAAGGACTGATCTGATATTCTTAGTGCCAACACGTGACCATAGACGGCCAATCAAACAAACAGCAAATCAAAAAATGGGTCACTAAGAAAATGATGGAAAATGGAGATGAACCCAAACTGGCAAAGAAACCACTGATTGTGCACAATGGAAGTACAGCACGTGCCACACCGRGGAAGCGTTTGAAGAGACCTGAGCAGCGACATCACCCTGGGGGGCACGGGGTCTAGAGACCCTCAGTYAATCTCACTCAACTTCCAGTCTGTCTCACGGCTGGAAGCGGGCAAGGCAGGAGGTGTGTGGGTGGGTGGTAGGCGCTGCATGGTGAACAGAAAAGTCCCCTACCTGCTCGGCCAGGGTCCACAGCCTGTGGGGCTACAGCAGCAGGGGGGGAAACAGGAAGAGAGGAGAGGACACCAGACCAACAGAAACCAAAACAATCGACACAGACACACAAACAACACAACCCAACAATAAAAATGGGATGAAGAAAAGGGAGGGTTGGGAGGGGAGATGCAGAAAGCAGAGAACAAAGTAAAAAGAAGATCAAAAACAATGTCAAATATGGAAATCACTGAAATTAATCACTGTATCATTAAAGGCTAAAAAAAAAAAATTTAAAGATGTCAACATATCCACAGAGCAGCAGAGTACTAGATGATTACTTGGACACATGGACCAGAGTCATTTTTGGTAAATGAGGAAGATGCGTCATTACAGGGCAGTTTGATTTTCTGGTGTTTTCTGAGATTTCTCTGAGGGACGTGGAGTATGCATTTTAAAGCTGTTGACTTTCTTCATGGAAACATTATCAAACTTCTGATTATGATAATTAAGTCTATAAATTTTTATATCTAAAATTGTGGTAGCTATCCCTACTCATCTATAAAATTTGGTAAAAGAAAAGTAGCCATGCTGGGCACAGTGGCACAKCCCATAATCCCAGGAGCTCAAGAGGCTGGAGCAGGAGGATCAACAGTTCAAAGCCAGTCTCAGTGAAAGTGAGGTGCTAAGCAACTCAGTGAGACCCTGTCTCTAATAGGACAGTGGATGTGGCTCAGTGTTCCTGAGTTCAATCCCCGGGTCCAAAAAAAAAAAAAAAAAAGCAGTAACAACACATTTGAATTGGGAAGGGCCAAGCTGCTGGGCTCTCACACAGTCCAGCTCAGCAGCCCCGAGGAATCATCTCAAGTGTCGGACACTACACAGTGCGGCTCCCTGGAGATGCACTCACTCCTCTTTTCCTCTCATCTCCATGGTTTGGGCACCTGCTTGCTGCTACATCCTCTCCAATCATGGTGGGAAGATTCCAGACAGCAGCTCAGGCCTGCTACTGGGATGCAACATGACCTTCCCTGGGCCACTTGGGTATCTTCTAACATTCCCAGGAAAGCAGAGAAGGCAGGTTTTCACAGTCACCTGCAGGAACACCCATGGTCCTTGGGTGCGATCACCCAGCTGCCCGCACACCCTACAACTACCAGGCAGACACCAGATCCTGGCAATCTTGTCTCGGGTTGTGGTTTGTTAATAATACCAGCTAAAAATTTACCTCTCAGGGCAGAGCGGAGTCTGTGAAAACAAGACTTAAAAAAAATTCTTATTCCATTTTTCTGCTACTAGTTCATTTGTGGTAGTTATAGCTCCTGCTCTCAGCATCTTTAAAAAAMCAGGCAGGACGTGAAGAAAATAATTGGGTTAACTGTGTACACAGTCTGAAGGTGCAGGGGACTTTCACTGGGTATATTCAAGCCAAATGCAATGATTTAAATTTCCTTCATGACTCCTTGAAACCTAGATATTAATTGGGGGAAAAACAGTGTTCCACTCTAAATTATTCTGATTCACAAATTTTGATAAAATGGCTTAAGGAAACACTTCATAAAAAAGCCTGTGTTACTAGGCCCTCATTTTGCTTCTTATATACAGGCAGAAAACAATGACTACAGCCCTTGAGGTCTGAGTTAACAAAGAGGTTAAAGTACGGATGTTTCTCAGTTTCAAAAACCCAACAATTCAAAGTCCAGTTCCTAGACTTTCTAATTCCTAGACACATTAAGGAGTACAAACTCAATGAGATCTTCACATTGCTACAGAACTCAGGCCAGTACTTCCTTAAGTGAGGAGATTCTTACTAATAAATATAATTGTCCCTGAATATTTAAAAATCATCAAATAGTTGCAAAAAAAGCTATCCATTCCAACTAAAGTTTATTCCAAAGCAAAGAAAGCATTTTTGAAATCACAAGTTATGTTAATTAGAAAAGAGGATGAACCTTAAAATTCAACTGTGTGATAAAAACGTTATACATACTAAAGTTATTTTCTCACCAATATAAAAGTGTCATATCCATTAAGTATTGTTCATGAATAAACAAACCTTACCTTTCTTGCAGTTCTAGGGATCAAATCTAGGGCCTTAAATGTCTAAGCAAGCATTCTACCACAGGGCTACACACCCAAGCCCTTAACTGAACTGTATGTAAATCTCAGCTGAACGTATATAGACTCATATCCCAAATATCAGCAAAGAAAACCCTCGACAGGGGTGCTTATTGGAACACTTCAGCTGATCGTTGATTTTATTATTCAGTAATYCAGTCATTAATACAATTAAATACAAACACCAGGAATGAAACAAGTGGAAATTCATGGGGCAAACAGTCCCAAGGCTGGTATGGTGCTCGCCTGCCACCTTATGTCTGAGGAGACAAAAAAAAAAAGCCTCTATCATGTCCCCCAGGACCAGCAGCACTCTCCAGATTGAGATGGAAAATGCTACAAAATCTGGCCACTGCTCTATACTCCAATTTCTGAGAGCACTTCTCTATCCACACGAAAAGATGACAGGCTTGGAGGAGCTTCCGAGGTGCGCTGAGGGACCATTCGTAGGACAGCCACAGCAAGTCCCTGCCAAGCCCCCTGAGGAGGACCAGGACAAGAAGTCTCCGGCACAGTCCCGTCACCCCTCCCTTGCYGCACAACTCCAGCACTACCTGCCTTTCCTGCGACAGGGAAGGTGCACAGCACGAGATCCTGACCACCTTCCTGCCTCGGCAGCTGGCAGAGGGGCACTCCAGGGGTGCTCATAAAGTAGGCAAGAGCGCAATCACACACCAGCTTGCTGATTCTCTTGGTTTGACATTGGGGCGTCCATGTGGCTGTGTTCTGGTGAGGGTCTTCTGGGACCTGCACACATCCTCCCCGAGCATGTGCAGAGACAGAGGCTTGCTTTCTCCTGTTCCTCCTATGAGGAYGCTAGCCCTACAAGATGAGAGCCTCACTTACTGCTACTGCCCCAATAAGCCATCTCCAAATATGGTCACACCAGGGGCGAGGGGCTTCAACATACAACATACTAACTTGGGGGGTGTGAGAAGGTTCAGTCCAACCCAGGGCAGTTGGGAACAGTGTTCTTGAAATGTCAGATCAACTTGATTAGCATTTTCCGAATCTTTTATATGTTTATCACATTTTCCTGCTGTATTTTATCAATTGCAGAGCAAGGGATGTTAAAATTTCCGATGATTCAATTTGTCACCTTCCTCTTTGGTCACTTTGGCTTTGTGTATGCTGGGACTGAGTTTTGAGCTGCACATGCTTTAGGGTTTTGCCTTATTGATAAATCAGCCCTCTGACCCATGTCAAGTGCACACTTTCTTAGGCGAGGCTTTGGGTCTGGCACATCTATTCAGGGAGACAGTGAGGTCTTCTCATCCCAGCTTTGCCTTCACTGACAACCTAGCAACTTAGATGTGACGGTCAAGCACGTTCCTTATAACACCATGTGGGCAAGGCAAGTCATTTTTATTCAGTCTGAAAATCTCTGCCTTTTACCTGGAGTTTAGTTCATTTACACAATTTCCTCCCATTTTATAGGGGTGTGACACACAGGTTTCCACCTTGACTGTTTTCAAGTGTACAGTCCAGGGGCACTCAATACATTCAAAATGTCATGGCCAGTCTTTTCAGGCTGCCTTAAAAATACAACTTACAAATGACAAACACCAACTGCTCATGGTTGGAGGCTGAGAAGCCCAGGGTCAAGGTGCCCACAGCCTCTGACCTGATGACTCACTTTGTTTCCAAATGTACCTTCTAGCTGTGTCCTCAGGCAGCAGAAGGGTTGACAAGCTCCCTTAGGCCTCTTATATAAGGGTAATAAATAATCCCATCAACATGGCTCCACCCTCATGATCTAATCAGGGACTAAATTTCAACATGAATTTGGTGTGTGTGTGGGGGGGTACACACAAAACTTCCAGACCACAGCAATCACTATCATCTAGTTCATTTACTTTTATCATAGTTGATACAAAGGGCTGTTTTTATTGTTCCTTTCCTTCTTTCTGCTTTTATTCATGACCAGAAATTTTTGGAATAGCATTCTCTCTTCTAATGACCTTCTTTGTGCTAGTTTTTTAGTCATTGATGTAGAAATTTGTACCACTTCCTGTATCCGCCTTCACAGTGCACTCCACCAACAGTAAGACTCCTACAACAGTTGTCCATTTACCTCCCGTCTTGCCCCTTGAAGCCTTATTACTCCTACATAGATCAATGGCTCCATTTTTACTTTCTGCTTTGAATGGTTAATCATTTTCGAGGAATGTTAAGAAAATTTGTATATTTACATATGGATAGATCTTTAAAAATGCCATTTTTTAAATTGATTTATTATAGTTGTATGTAATGCTGGAATTTGTTGTTATATATTTGTATGTGCACACAATGTACTAGTATAAAAGTTTCTTTTGTATTGATCTCCTCTTGTATTTTTAATTCCCCTTACATATTTGGGCTTTGTTTCACTGTCTTTTTAGTCCTAAGGAATTTTTTTTTTTAGATTTTTTTTAAAGAGACAGTGAGAGAGATAATTTTTTAATATTATTTTTTAGTTTTCGGCAGACACAACATCTTTGTATGTGGTGCTGAGGATCGAACCCCGGCTGCATGCATGCCAGGCGAGCGCACTACCGCTTGAGCCACATCCCCAGCCCCCTAAGGAATTTCTTAGCATTTCTTGTGATGCATATTTACTGATAAATTCCCTCAGATTTGCTGCTAACAAAAATGTATTTTTAGCTTCCATTCTGAAGGACATTTTACTGCATAATCACTCTTTTTAGCACCTTGAATATATCATTCCACTGGCATCCACAACTTCTGGTGAAAGCGTGGTGTCATTTTTTGTCACTTCCTTCTGGGGACAGTGTCTATTTTTGCAGGTGCTTTAGGCTGCTCCTCTCTCTCTGCATCTTCACAGTGATATGGCTAAGTTGGGGCTTCCTTTTTATTTTTTTCTGCTTGGAGTTCTTCAGTCTGTGGACTGACCTCTCACAGTCTTAGCCATTGTCTTCAAATCATGCTTCTAA